CAGGGAATACTTCTGGTGTGCTGACACCCTCGACAGGGGATTGAACTGGGCCTCCGATGGGGAAAGCATGTGCTCAGCCTGCTGAGCTACGTTGTCTGTTCCCGCCTCCCTCCATTAATAAAAAGTTTAACTAGAGTGTGCCACAAGCTTCATTTATGTCCCTTTATTCATACCCTTAAATTGGAATCAGGATTTGCCTCCTTTTTAGAAGAAGAAACTCCTTGCCTAGCAAATTCATTTTGAAAATGATCCACATGGCATTTGGTAATAGGCTTGCAAGATAACTTCGTAACCTCTCCAGATACTCTCAGATGGAATCCCGAAGTTCAAGACAAATTGTACTGTCAATCACAGTTTACCTAGGGTGCCCCACTGCTTCCAAAATTCACATTCATGCTTGTGCTTCTGTTGGAGTGACCATGGCATGAAAGAGAAGCTTCCTTTGTCTAGTTTTCTCCCTTCTCTGAACTTCTGCAGATGTTCAGGTATGATATGCTGGCGTTATTTAAAAATAATCTGCCTGTGATGTGTTTCACAGATAAGGAAATTAGGGTACAGGTAGACTTAATTGTTTGCCTAGAGACACAAACCTTGTAGACTTGGAAAAGGGCTCCAGATTGTTCTTCCGACTGTCTAATATGATGGTAAATGAATCAGGTAGGTGGAGAGACTAAGAAAGAGGTCACCTCAGCTTGATCCCTGGTTCCGCATAGTCATCAAGATAATTGCGGCCAGAGCTAGCTTGATAGTGATGAGTGGAGTGAGGGCGAGGGAAAGGGAAAGGAAGAAAGAGAAGGAGAGAGAGAGGGAGAGGGAGCAGGCACCTGTGAGAAGGATTTGGAATTGAATATGAGTGGTTAGAGAGGAGGTTCGAAAGAATTCAAAGTATAATCTTCAATGGTACAAAGTTAGGCCAGCCTCATTGAGAGAGCAAACCTACCCATTTGTGCATGTGTGAATGTATGTGTATATATACATGCCGTGTTAATTTTATGACTGTACACACATGTAAAATTTTACTATTTCTTGAAAGAGAACCGGGACTGAGCACTTTTCTCACTGGTAAAGTGGAAGTAATATTGAGCCAGTGGAGGTGTTTCATGACTCAATGGAAGGAATGACCTGTCCTGAGGAAACTTGAAAGTGTCTGTTTCTCATTTTTGTACTACTCAGAACCCATTGACTCTGCTTAATGCTCTGCCAATTTAGGGAATACAACAGACAGTGCTAATGTGGTCTTTCTTCCCAGTGAGTTCATCTTTATCAAGGGTGATCTCCTTCAACTAACCATTATTGAATCCCAAGTCTGACAGGTCTTACAAGGATCTTACAGAGGTAAACCCTGTAAGCAAGTCTAAACTTGGGCCCCAGGAAAGAGACCCCAAGGAGATGATATTTTGGTTGGTATTTGAGAATAAAAGGATGTTCTCCTCTCTCTCTCTCTCGCTCTCTCTCTCTCTCTCTGTTGTAACTCGCCCAAGCCAAACTGGTAATCAGTACTTGCAGTTGTCATCTGAAAAACTTAATCTTTACATCCAAAGTATTTCTTAGCCAGCAGTTTAGACGGAGTAACTCTCCGTACAATAAACCTTGTAGTCAGCTCCTGTACTGAATCAGTGTGTTGCCTGGCAGTTGCTATTGTTATCCTCGGACCCCTACATCTCTCAGCAGTCTGGACCAGAGCTTCCTGCATCTGCTATTCCTGTGTTCCCTTGGTTTGTCCGTCTTTCCAAGCATCAGCGATAGAGAAAGTAAGGGCTTCTGCCTGACTGACATACATGTCTTCTCTCTATCTCTTGATAGAGCAGAATGCCATGTAATGTACTTTTTATTAAATCTCAATTCTGTCTTCTTCTTTGGTATGTGTGAGGTGACTGGACCTCAGTCTTACGAGAACAAACTTCTTCCCAGGACCTGCAGGGGTGGGAGAAGAGGGCACAGAGTCTGACCAGCCCCTCACAGAATGAGGCCAGCATCCTCATTGGGGTGTTGTTGGGTAAGAATGCGTTCCCGAGCGAATCAGCTCTGTTCATTCAGTCTGGGTGGCACAGCGGAGTACCAGACTGGCACTCAGTGAAACAGACCTCTAGTGAACACCGTCTTCCTTTCTCTAAACCTTAAGAGTCCATCTTCCATAATGGAAATGAAAATGATTTCTGGCAAGATGTAAAGTTGTAATAGGTGTGTTTATACTGCGGGGCCTACAAATATTTGTGTGTTTTATAAACCTCTTCCACACTCAACTGTGCATAAGTTCTCTCTGAAAAGATAGATATTTATGACACAGATTTGAAGCTAGGATCGCAGTGTATGTTATTTACGATCTGTATGACCTTGCAAGGCAGAAAATAAGAGTGAAGATGACATACCCACATATTTGCATATTTTGAGCTTTTAAATTTGAGTCAAGTTTGATTGATTCTGTTTCTTGGTTATGGTTGAGCCAGGGCTTCCATTTCTCCCCGCTTTATTGTTTTCCTTCTCCTTGTCCCTCCCCCCCACTTTAGAAACATTAATAATATACATGGGCTCAGCTGGCATTTGTCAAACTGATGGAAGAAGGAGCATGGAACCAGAAGAAGCTTTTCTGTTTCGGCTTTTCTTAGTGTTAACATGTCCAAAAGTTCTTAAGATTGACTGCTGTAAACTAGCCCTTTATGGCTATAATAAAGAGCTATAATCTCAGGTTTTTGTACCAAGAGAAAGAGTATTTTAAAGTAACCATTTTGGTTATTCAAAATCATAGTATTTAGTGGCCAATAAATGTGGGGAAAGCTCTTAAGCCTCATTAGTGACAAAAGAGGTATAATGAGAAGCATTGCCGGGCTACTTTGCCTATGACATTGACTTTCTAAAAATCACATATTAAAATTGAAGAGAAGCAAACTCAGGGAGATAGCTCCAGTGCCTGATCACATTTCTGGCATGTGGGGGTCCCTGAATTTGACCCCCAACTTGTCTGTCCTTCCTGCCCTCACCCTCGCACTGTCTGGGTTTACTGCTATAAAAATTTTTGAAGAGAAACAAAGGAGACAGATGTTGGATTGAAAACCTTGCAGAGGCTGATGGATGTTCTAAATAGGTATGACTTACCCCCCTCTAGGGCAATTTAACCATAGTTAATAAGTGCTAGAGAGATGCTAATACCTTTGACATAGTAATTACATTTCTGGGAACTTAGCCTAAAGAAATAATCAGAAGTGGACATCAATATAATTATAACATCAGGAACTTGGAAACAACCTAAATGTCCAGCAGCAGGGGATTGATTAAGTGAAGTATGAAAAAATACACAGTGGTCTTTTTGGGTGGAAGAATGGCACACTATTTGGAAAAATAATCGCAGGGAAAATGTTTGTGAAATAATGTTAAGTGCAAAAAAAAAGTCTCCTGCCCCCGCGCCTGGCTGTCCTCCCCGGGGCTCCTTGGAGGGGAGCGGGTTGAGCTTTCCTCCCCGCCCCGACCAGGGCTCCGGCAGCCAAAGACCTCCAGGACCAGCCACCACCATGCTGAGACCACTCTCCGCGCACATGAAGGTACTGGCAGAGGGACAAAGCCACGCGGGGTCCAGGGCCGAGATCTCCCAGCCTACTCGGATTGGAGTCGAGCATCCTCCACCCAGATCCTCCAAATTCCAGTAGGCGGGGGTCACACCCACCACCTGGCCCCCTGGCGCCGTGTAATCCCATCAGCGGCCAAGACTCAGAGACTATAAAATCCAGCTCCCAGATGAGAACAGTGCAGTCTCCTGCCCCCGCGCCTGGCTGTTCCTCGCCAGGGCCCCTTGGAGGGGAGCGGGTTGAGCTTTCCTCCCCGCCCCGACCAGGGCTCCGGCAGCCAAAGACCTCCAGGACCAGCCACCACCATGCTGAGACCTCTCTCTGCACACATGAAGGTACTGGCAGAGGGACAAAGCCACGTGGGTTCCGGGGCTGAGATCTCCCAGCCTACTCGGATTGGAGTCGAGCATCCTCCACCCAGATCCTCCAAATTCCAGTAGGCGGGGGTCACACCCACCACCTGGCCCCCTGGCGCCATGTAATCCCATCAGCGGCCAAGACTCTGAGACTATAAAAACCAGCTCCCGGAACTGCGCAGCCGCATTCGCGGCTGCACGACATCTTATTATGACATCTCATTTCTACTTTGACAAACTGGCAGGCTACCGAATGTAGCCTGTCCACACAGCAGAGTCTGGCAAACTCCCCATGGTGTACCCAATATGCCAAATACCAGTAACAATGATGGGTCTCATTCTCCTAAAAGAGTCTTGAATATAACCTCAGGGCCAGGATGAAGGAGACCTTACTGGGGCCTGCTCGAGGCAATCGACGAATAACAGGATGATCTGTGATCTGTGATCTGTGACCAAAAAAAAACCAGACAGGGATCTATTACTAGATTATATTTGAAGTGAAGTCTATTCATATAGTCATACATGTACTTTCTGTCTGTATGCTAAGAAAAAATATGACAGCTAAGAAAAAATATACCAGCATCAGATGTTATCTCTGGTTGATGAAAGTGTTGGCGGTTTTTAGATTCTTCTTTGGACTTTGTTTTCCAAGTAGTTATGTTTATAACTAGAAGAAAATACATAATTTAAAAAGGTATGTTCTGAAATAGTTTGTACTAGTACTGCCACATGAAAACTTAAGAGGAAAAAGCCTAATGCAAATTGCAGCCTCTCTCTGCCACTGACTTTTAGAATGGTGATGATGATCAATGGTAATTGTTTTTGCAAACTCTTCTTTTAAAGTACTTCTGTAAACATACCTTCTGTTGAGTAAATAGAAAGACTTTTGAAATCTTTGTCTGATTTGAATAGAGGTAATGATTCCCAGATAATTCTCTTAGGACCCTGGTTCATCTTAAGCAGAGGTTCCCAAACTTGACTGGGCTACTTCAGTGTTGCTCAGTTTGGGAAAATGATGGTGAGGCTGGGAGAAGCTGTTAACTGTGGTGGTAAATGATCCTCCCCTCCCCCCCTACTTTTACAGATATACCTGAAATTCCAGAAAGCATCTCATTCTGTAAAGCACTCCAGGTCGCTGACTTCAGTGGAAACCCACTTACCAGGTAACTGTTTGGCTTGTTTTCTTCTTTCGTACTAAAGATTTCTTTTTTGAGAACCAACTTAAGATTACAACCAGTTAAGCATTTTGGAGGGACCTAGGTAGCCGGCTGTCTTGGACATGACTGGGGTCCACAGAGATGTCCTCATAAATAGCACTGAGCAATGAAAGGCGCTCCATGGACCATCAAAAGAATGTCGTTAGGAGTTATGAGTAATATGTATTCAAAACTGAAATGAGCAGCACACTTCTGAGGTAACTTCTCTGATAAATTTGAGAAGTAGATCGATCTGTCAGTCTCTTTTGTGATAGGATTGACTTCTGAGTGATAAATTTCCCAGAGACATTGCTCATAAGAAAAGTCTTATTGGAGCTTTTTTTTTTTCTTGAGTCCAATACTGAAACATATTTACTGTCTCAGCTTTCTCTCTAATGCCTGTTCCGGTTGTTTTATTCTACTTATTTTTCGGTGGGGGCATACCTGGGGCTGCTCACCAGGGCTTCCTCCTGGCTCTGTGTTCAGGGGACAGGCTGTGGTGCTGGGGACCTAGGCAGGATCAGGCAGATAATTCCTGGACCGTCTCTCTGCCCTGCCCCCGACCCTGCACGCTCCCATCTGTCCTCCCATTTTGAGTTTTGAAACTTGACCGGCACCATCACTTTCCTCATCGCTGAGAGGATTTCTTTGGGTCCGAGCCACCTCTCACCGTTTAGTATCGGCCCCACTTTTGTCCTTCCTGTGTTGAGATGAAAGCACACACTGCCCGGAGTACCTGCTGGCTGCTGGCCGCCCGGGGGCCTGTGTCCCCAGGATGAATAAGTCGCTTCCTGTGTGTGACCAAGCAGGGAAGGCCCATTGCACTGTGTTCCGGAGGTCTCTCTGGGTTGGTTTTCAAGTTTCCTCAAGACCGCTGTGGACGCAGCCTCAGGAAGAACTGCTCTTCTGTCCCTCCGTCCTTCCCCTCCCCTCCCTCTTCCTCTTCCCCTCCCCCTTTCATTTAGTCCCTCCCCCTTCTCATTCCCCCTTCTCTTTTCTTTCTCCCTACCACTCCCCTCCTTCTTTCCTGCTTCCCTTTCCCCTTCCTTTCCATTCCCTTCCTCTCCCCCTACCGCTGCCCACCCTTTCCCCTTCCCTCCCCTTCTTATTTATTATTTTTTTTAAGGACCAAGGAAAACTGAGGTCAAAATTTGGAGATTTATTTCAGCCAGTTCAAAATTGCTTGGACCCTCTTATTCTGTGGATTCTGGGATATGCTTTTTTTGAAAGTTTTGTGTCTCCCATAAATAAACTCCTTAGCTTCAACAAGTAAATATATTACAAATATGTTTAATATATTCCCGCGTTCTCTCCTTTGAATTTCACCGAATTAACAGCATTCACTCTTAAGAAAAATTGAAGTCCAGTAATCTTATACTCGACAACTTGCTTTCTTCTTAAAAGACTGTTTTTAACCATTAAAATAGAATTTTCCTGGTTTACTCTGGTTTCCAGTATCACGACATTTTGAGAGTACAGCTTCACTCCTATGAAAACCTTACCGTAACCCCCACCACCAGAGTTCCAGTGCAGTCTCACTGTCCTCAAGAATCCCCCCACCCCTGTACCACCGTTCTCTGGCCACGACCTTATCTTCATAGCCCAAGAGAGATTGTGTTGTGAGGGTTTGTTTAAGTTTTACAGCACCATTAGCTTTTCACTTTTCTGAAAGAGATTGTGTTTTTCCGAGTGAGATTGTGTTGTGAAATGTTTGTTGTGTGTTGTGTAGGTTTGCACTTTGTTTGCTTTGGTTATTTATATTCCACAAGTGATCAAAGTTATCTGGCGGTTGTCTTTGGCTGCCAAACTTAACCGCCTCAATTTCCATCCGTGCTGTCACAAAAGGCACCAGTTTCATCTGTCAGCAGGCATTGAGGCCAGTTCCATTTTGGGGACCATAATAGCTGGCCTTTTTCTTGACCATTGTCCCTGCAGTTGACCCTCTTGAAACCATAGTGTAGCTCCCTGTTCCTCTATGATAGAGGTAAACACCAGGGATGTGACTCAGTTATAGAAAATTTGTCTTGCAAGTGCGAGGGCCTGGGTTCAATTTCTGAAATCAGGAAAAAAAAAAAAGAAAGAGATGAACCACAGCACCAGCCCTGACTTGTCTGTCCACTTCCTTGCCTTCGGTTGTCATACACCACATTCTGCAGTAGTACAGGTGTTGGTAGACTACTTGTTTCGTGTGCTGGTCTACTCTCCCCCAGACCCCCCCCCACGGTTCATCTACTTACCTTTTGTCTTTTCCTGGTTACTCTCCCTTCAGTTTCTGCATGCTTTCCCCAAATACTCAAGGTTTACATTCAAGCTATGTCTTTGACCAACACTCCCCAACTAGATGGAGAGAGTTAATTTATTGTTGTATGTCCAACCCGACTTTAACTTCTGGAGTAAACAGCGCTAGCGATCAGGCATTGTTGGCCTGGTCTAAGCCCAGACCCCCCCTTTTTGCACGGCCCCCTGCACCGTCTGGCCGCTACTCATTATGCTGCTCCTGTTCGTAGACCGTCGGCTGCTTAGTGTCCATTTCTGCTCCTCAAGCTCTCCTTTCTCGACATCTGTAGGTGCATCTCCTTTGTCTCAGAACTCTCTTGACTATGACACACTGTGTGAGGTTTTGCTCACTTTGTACCCTGGCCTCGTAGTTGACAGGTTTCTTAAATAAAAGTCATTCTAATTGGCAGACATGTTCTTTTAAGAATTAAACTATCTCAGTGAGTGGATGACAACTTAAAAATTATTTTGCTTAGCCTACTTGTCTTATGGTTAAAGAAACAGAAACTTGAATAGGTGAATTGACCATTTTTTTTTTTGAGACCAGGAAATCTCTGGGTGTCATTTCAGACTAGAATTCCGTCTTCTCAGTTTTTGATCTGTGCTTCATACGCTATGGTAACTGGTAATGTTTGCAGCCAATTGAAAAAAAAAATAATGCACTCTGATTTTTTTCCTTATAATTAAAAGAATCGTAGCTAGTTTCAAGTTTATAAAATTGGTGTGGTTCCTTTTAATAACTCAAAATATGTTGGGTGCATCCTATTAATTATATCAAGCATCTTATCCCTGTTAGGTTATAGACGTGGTCTTCTTGTCAAAGAACTTTGCAAAAGGTTCTTAAGATATATTTATGGAAATCCCTGTGAATACTCTTGTCTGGCAGGCCTGGATTTGTCTTCAAGCTTGGGATTACCTGTATTAAATGTATCAAACAATAATGAAGGATTAGTTGTTTTTTTTTTTTAAAGAAACCTGAAAAGAATCTAATTTAGACGCTTATCTTTAGATCACCTCTGCCCACCTCCAGCCCTGAAAAAAATTAAACCTGTTTTCTGTTTACTCTCTGAGCATGTTCGTGTGCACGGACTGTCACTGTGTTCAGCATGTGGAGATCTTTTTGCCTTCAGTTAGCTTTTTTCTCCCTTCCTAAGTACTAATAACTATGGAAATACTGACCATAAACTTTGTCATTTTTTAAACAATAATTTTGTTTTGAAATATTAGTTTTGTAGAATCTAAGGGAAATACAAAAATTATGTAGAATATAGTAAAACATAATTAGCTAATATGATTGGCATCTTAAATCAAATTAAAAGAAAAATGTTCTCAAATGGCAATTGTAACCTGACCAGTTCTGAGAAATCCAAAGATTTGTTCTGGGAAAAATATTCTGAGCATCTGTCTTATATAATCTTCTGGGTTAAAATTTGTCTTTATTTTTGCATAATCATTGTATTTTCACTTTTGTGCACTTTTAGCAGCAACAACTCCATCTTCCCCCCACCCAGGGTGCACACATGATTCTCAGAACATTTCCCCCTTTTTATTGTTCATTTGATATGTAATCCCTTTATTTCTTGATCATCCGATCACTAAGAATTTATCATGTTTACCATCGCCAGTCTTCTATTTGGATTAAGTCTTTGTTTTATTTCCTTATGAATAAATGTCTCAAGTAGAAGATAGGACAGCCTTGCCATGTCTCAATGATTGGTTCACTTATTGACATTGGCATATTGTACATGTGCCTAGCATAGTAGTTCAATAACATTTTCATGGACTTGCAGGGGATTTCTGCAGACCAGTGATTGAAAACACTGCTTTGCATGCCAGAGCACTTCCCAGGTCCCTAAACATCACCAAGGATGGCCCTGAAATAAACAAAAAGTTGTCATATGTCATAGAATTTTAGGAAGTTACATTAATTAGCATGTTGAAAGAAATGATTCTATTCACATTTAGTATATACTAGTATGCACTTTTCTTTTGTAATTAACCTTTGTTTGTTTGTTTTAGATTACCAGAAAGCTTTCCTGAATTACAGAATTTGACATGTCTTTCTGTAAATGACATCTCATTGCAGTCCCTGCCTGAAAATATTGGCAAGTAAGTTTTCATGTCCCGTGTGTGTTTTCAGGGTGAAAGGGTATTGAGATCATCAGCTCCACCTCTCTCCCTCTTGGAGCTCTTGTGTTTTTATTCCGAAAACCACTCACCCAATCTTCATTATCCCCCCCTCAAGAAAAACAGCCAGCCTCTCATATTTTCACATCCAGTCACCCCTAAATATAATAGCTATAAAGGGGGCTGACATGGTTCCTAGTAAGAAACGTAGTTTGCTGGGTTTGGAACCTCTCTTTAAACTGGTGAATTCCAATGCATGAATTGTATGGGTGGTTACTAAGTACTGTTAGAAACCAAAATCTCATTAATTTTAAAGCCAGCTACGGGTAGAGGACCCACCAGGACAACTTTGTGTCCCAAAACAGCAGTTATTTCCGACCTTGTGGGTGAACTATGCCCTGAGGACAGGGAGTGAGGAGTTGGAGTTGGGAGAGCTGGGGTGGAATTGGGAGAAGGGTGAAATGGGATGAGCGTCTTTCCACACCACACCTCCGGTTTAGAGGTCCGGCGGACAGCCATGGCAAGAAACAAAATCTTTGCCGTGTACTGCCAAATTAATGTTTGGGTACATGTTACCTACGATTCTGTTGAGGTGTCTTAGCAGATTTTTTCCATACCACAGGACTCTGTATTACAGCAGGCTCATGGCTGAGGCTCAATATTAACCATGTAAAGTTATAGACCAGCTTGGCAAGTCTTAACAGTCTAAGTTGGTTGGTGGGCCAGTATTCACTGGTCGTCATAAAGGATTTCCCTTGCATTTTCCTGTCCTGCCTAAGTTCTCAGACACTCAATTAATAACTTTTTCTTTTCTCTTTTTGAGAACTGCAGTGAATCTGGTAGATGTCTGTTCTGCAGAAAGAATTCCAGCGAGATGCAGTGTTGTTGTTGATGTTTTTTAATCTCAGAAAATTTTCTTTCCTCAAATATGTGTTGTGTTATGTGGAGATATGAAATATGATGATATGCTAAAACATATAAACAAAAATTATTGTTAGCTTCAGATTTAGTACTCTGTTATATTCTCCTACATATTTATTTATTTATTTATTTTTGCTTTTTGGGTCACACCCGGCAATCCACAGGGGTTACTCCTGGCTCTGCACTCAGGAATTACTCCTGGCAGTGCTCCGGGGACTATATGGGATGCTGGGAATCGAACCTGGGTCCGCCACGTGCAAGGCAAACGCCCTACCCGCTGTGCTATCGTGCCAGCCCCCCTACAGATTTTTTAAATGAAATTCAAAAACTTAATGATTTCTGAAATTTTTATTAGAAGAATAAAAGGTGAGGCAGTGTACGGTTAAAACTTAAAGCTGTATAATCAGACCAAAAGAAACCTTGCATTTATTGCAGTAGTTCAAGGTACAAAGACAAGCAACTCAAGAGTTTCAAGATACGGCTTTAATGCATTGAAAACATGATAAAATCTAAAGAAAGGATCAGTAGCAGAAATAAAGGCCAATATTTTTTTGAAAATCAAGTAACCCCAAAACCTTTAGATTAAAATGCTTCTTTTGCCCCAACTCAAAATGCATTGATTTTTAGATGCCATTAATAATATTGCAATGAGAAAGAGCCCCCCAGAGAAAGAAAACCATTCTCCAAGTTGGTCACCTCCTATTGAGTCTTCTTGGGTCTGGCTAGCCCCTGATTTCCAGTCTTAGTCACTGCACCAGTCGATTGTGTTCATCCCATTCTGATCTTTAGGCAAATTCTAAAAACATTTAAAGTTCACTTTTATTGAGCACATTATTGAGACGTTTTTGGCCACTACATATTTAAAAAATTCAAGGAACAGGGGCCAGCGAAATATAGTATTGTGTGTAAGGTGCTTGCATTGTACCTAGCCTGAGCTGGGTTTGATCCCTGGTACCGAATCTGATCCCTTGAGTCCCACCAGGAAGCACAGAGGCAAGAGTTAGCCCTGATCTCTGCCAGGGGTGGCCCTAAAACAACAGCAACAGAAGCTTAAAGACCACTTTCAACTCTAGACCTAAGGTATTACGGGGTGAAAAGACGAAGATCAACACTTTCATTACTTAAAATTTTTTTATAAGGTTAGGAACATGATTGTAAGACCAATTCCTCATGAAAATTGTACTTTAATATGCATTTACTTCTTTCTACACACACACAGAATGTGTATGTGAAGTACAAAAAGTTCCCACTGGGAAGATAATTTAAGGTTGTTAATCTTCTTTTTAATTGCTTAGCGGCCTTGTTTCTATTTCACAGAAGCAAAGTTTACTCTGGGCTTTGATTCTGGAAAAGGTGTTCCTTCAGGAAGGTTTAGATATTATTGTGTCTTTTGTCAGTCTTCTTCATCTTTTCATGGTAGGCAGCATATTGTGTGTCTATTTCCAAAACTCTTTCCCTCCAGGTAATTTTGAAGCATGCTTTCTAATGAATTTCTTGCAAAAATCACAAGATGTGTGATACTGAGAACCAGCATAGCAAGAGATGAGTCATGACAAGTTGCTAAGATCATTATAACTGCTATACACGTCAATTGTTTCTCTCAAACCAATGGCTACCCTTACCCAAAAAGAATCACATCAAACCGAAAAAAGCATGATTCTAGTGAAAATCCCCATTCCAAGAATGAAGGTTTCCAGGGCATGTGCATATTCAACTCCCCTTACAAATAGACCTAAAATTTATGATGAACTTCTTGAATATACTTATATTTTCTTTTGTGGTCTACGAGCCAATGCATGAAATAGTGGCATGTGTCTTCATTCACAGCACAGAAAAAGCATTGTGCCCATAGTAGAGCATCTTAGCATTCTTTCCCAAGTCCTAAAGGATGCCGAAATTCTCTGTAAAATAAGTTTCACAAAACAAAAACGATTAAAAAGTAATACTTTTCGATGCATCTATTGTCTATCCAGGGATTCTGATTTCCTTTTGTGTGTCTGTTGAGGGGGTTGGAGGGATTCACTGTTAGCTGTGCTCAGGGCTTGCTCCTGGCTGTGTGCTCAGAAATCAATCCTGACAGGGCTCAGAGGACCATACGGGGTGCTTGGGATTTTACCCAGGTCAGCCTCCTGCAAGACAAGCACTTCATCCACTATACTACGGTTCTAGCCTCCTGATTTTTCCTTTTGAATGTTGTACTTTTTCATACAAGGCATAAATTGAAATGAGTCCAGTAAAGAGAATGAGTAATAAAGGGCCTCATGAGCTGGGAGGGATCCCCTCATAGTTTCACTCTGGAACTTTGCATGATTATTCAGCATATAGTTCTAAGCATTTTTGAATGGTTCTTGATGAGGATTCTGAGATAAGGTTGAATCCACATACTCCACTGCTAAGGATGCTGAACCGGAGATGCCGACAGCTTCATCTGTTGCCAACTTTCACATCTCTATAGGCAGCCTTCAGTTTCTGGATGGTCATGCAGGGACACCGTACAACTTCTTTTATACCATGCCCGATACCTCCTTAAACCCAGATATCTTGGTTCTACGGGTACCTGTCTTTTTGTAGGGTCACAGTTTTAATTCTGTGCTCAGGGATCATTGCCGGTGATGCTCAATGGACCATAGGCAGTGCTAGGGATCAAACCAGAGCTGGCCACTTGCAAAGCAAGCACCTTAACCTCTGTCCTTTCTCTCAGGCCTGCAAAATAGATTGATATGTTTAACAGACATTTCCCCACCTTCCCTGCCCTTCTGTGCAGGCAGAAGACAACTGGCTGATTTGGTTTCAGTGAGCAAGTTCATAATTTTCTTTCTGCACATTAGTATCTTAGCATTATGCCACTAGACTTGCAGATTATAACATGTTCCTTACCCCTTGGGAGAAGGAGACAAGGAGCAGAAACCCTAACTCTGGCAGCCCCTGAGTTTGTGGGATTAGTTGCAGAGGAAGCAACATTTGAATATGGGTTTTGTGCTCTTACACTTCACTTTGCTGTACCGTGTTTATGTATTTCTTGTTAATAGATAAGTCATTTAACTACCCAAACTGATGCTTCCTTCTGCTGCTCAGGGTATCTGGAATCTAATTCTCTGGTACCTTCCAGTCTTTCTCAGCCTTCTGGTCCTGATCCATGATTTTTTTTTTAAAGAAGTCTAATGCATTCAGAGAAAAGTATCTTCTTAAACCAGAGTGCTCCACTCATTCCCCATTCAGGACTTTAAAAGAGAGTGGTATTTAATAATCATTTAAAAATAAATTACAATTTGTATTATTACATCCTTTTCCATTAGCTTCTATTTCTGTTTTGCCTATGTTCAGGATTTCTTGTATATATTGTATCCATAATAAAAGTATTGTTTTGGTCTTGTTCTTGTTGTAAACTCAGTCAGCTAACAGTTCTATTATGGCTTTATGTATACTGATTTCTTCCAAAATAAAATGCTACTTGAACTTGAACCCTGCAGTGAATAATTACCCAGGAAGTAAGAACATGTGGTGGTTATGGTGGGGCAGAGTCAGATAAGTGGATCAACTGATTCTTACAACATCAGTTTGTCCAGTTTTGGAATGTTTACAAAATAGGATTTTGATCATCATTATCACAGTATCCAGAAACTCCATGATTTCTACCTTTTGGGCTTAAGATTCACACACTCTAAAGACACCTCATATTCTTTTGGAAGAAAGAAACAATCAAAGAACCAATCTCTTCTTTGGAGAATATTGGGCACCTCTGTGTCCGAGACCTGCTGAAAAAGCTCTGGAAAGAGTTGTGCAGATACGCATGAGCAGTCTCTCTCTTATTGTCACGATGATGTTGGGGTCCCAGTTGGAATTTCCAGGGAATGGACACACTGGATGTGTTCTACCAGGGTCACATTTGTGGTGCTAGGGCTCAAACCCAGTAATGCCAGGGATTGCCACTGGGGGCTTGGGGCAGACCTGGGCCTTGTGCTCTCAGCTTCACACAGCAAGGCAGCTACTGCCTTGACACATCACCTCTGCACCCAGCTCGCTAAACTTTTAACAAAGCAGTTTTTGAAACAAATGAAATT